TTTTTTTTTTTTTATAACATGTCATACTTACCTGCTCTGTGCAATCGTCTTGCACAGAGCAGCCCTGATCCACCTCTTCTTTTGTCCCCAGCCAACACTCCTGACTCCTCCATCTCGCCAGGTGCCTCCGTTGCAAGCTGCTTACTCTGGGGGAACCCGTGTGTGTTTGCTCCTGAGCCGCCTATGTGTGTCTATAAGACTCAGAGTGTGGCTCGACCCCGCCCCCCACTCCCTCTTCACTAGCTGTGATTCACAGCAGCGGGGGCCAATGGCTGCTGTCTCTAAGCCAATGAGACAAAAGAGCCAAGAGAGCCTCGGCTCTTGTGCACATTGCTGGATCACGCTCAGGTGAGTATAAGGAGGGTGGGGGGTTGCGGTGGGAGCTGCATTCATAAGGTTTTTTTACCTTCGTGCATAGAAGGTAAAAAAAACTGCCTTTACAACCACTTTTACAGAAAAGAACTTTTATTTGCATTCAGTTGTGAGTTGTAATATGTATAATAAGGAGTTCAGAAATGGCCATTATGTTTACCTTCTCCCCATACTTCCTGGTCATTCAAAATTTAAAGTGATATAAAACCCTCCTTTTTATTTAAATTTTATGTTCCTTATAAATAACTTTAACCAGTAAGCCTAACCTGATGTTTTAAGGCTCTGTTGTTCTAGTAGTTTTCTTTGTGTTTCTGAAGAACTTCTGACTGTTTCCTATAAGTGCCCCCTATCCTGCACTTATCCGATGGGGACAACTGTGTGTGTGTGCACTCCCAGGCTTAGGACTACATCCTCATGGCCTAACGCTGCCTGCACATACACACAGGTATCCTGGCATCGGAGGACACTGCAGCTCCGCCTCTGATCTGCCCCCCCCCGCAGAAGTCATTAGAGAAACCCCAGCTACACAGCAACAGAAGCCCTGCCTCTGTTACACCTCCTTTTGCACAGTGATTGGCAGCAGCTCCAGAGATTACAACACCAGCTGCAAGTGCGATGCACGGTACCGTAAAACATGCTGGGACATGTAGTCCCAGCTCCCCAGTTAGAAATGTTCTCAATGTGGAGCCAGGATTGCTGCACATGCAGGATATAAGAGGTACGTTAGGCAAATTATTTTAAATTAATAATTACAGTTTTATGTCTAGTGTAGCTAATAAACCTACATACTATAAATTTATGAGGGTTTAGAACCACTTGAAGCTGGATCTTTTTTTTTTTTTTCTTTTTCGGGCATGTGTGTCCATCCCAAATACAGTATCTTACATACATAGTATCTATGTCACTTTCTGTAGCAGATGCACTATAGGGAATATAATGAAAGAAGTGCTGACGTTTTTGTCCGGTACCCATAGTGGACCCTTTTTATAACAGAATATTCCCAGAGCTCCATTTATACCCAAAAACTGTCTCCTATGACCTGCACCAAATTTTGTTTCCATTCAGTGGTTCTTTTGTTGGCAAAACTGTTTAACAAACTAGCAAAGCTTTCCTTAGGGCCCATTCACACTGTGCCCTGATATGACAGGAACACGTTTTCATGCCCATTCATTTGAATGGGATGAAAATGCACTGCACAGTGGTAAAAGTAGTGCAGTCACTACTTTTTTTAAATGCACGGCAACCACATTTCATGGAACTTTGTACCATACGGTTTGGTGTGTACCGGTGCTGGCAAATGCCGTGCATTTGTGACCTGTGTTTGAAGTGTCGTTAACTTTAACTGACCCCTGCAGCAGATCGCAAGGGCATTGCAATCGCAATGTGGCGCAAGAAGTCGCAATGTGGTGCAAGAAGCCGCACGGGAACATGGCTCTCCTGCACTGCATTCCAATGTGAATGAGCACTTAAAGCGGAGTTCCACTCACTCTGTAAAAAAATAAAAGTCATAGCTACAAAAACTGTAGCTGCTGACTTTTAAAAAACAGCCACTCACCTGTCCAACAATCCCGCGTTGCCCCCGCTGCATCCCGTTTCACCGGCCGTCCTGTATTCCAGGCGCTGGAATCTTCAGTGTGGGCACCAGGCTGTGACAGCTTGTGGCTGCACAGGTCTTCTGGGACCTGTCACATGTCCCACAAAACTTCGGGGAGGGAGGGTAGGAGGACAACTTCCACTTCCGATCGCCTTAATGGGGAGTGGGGGACCAATCTTTAAAGCGGAACTTCCCCTTTTGGGTGGAACTCCGCTTTGATGTCAAACCTTTATCCATGCTGAGTCAAAACTAAGCATGTCAACTTCAAAGTAAAGCTCTTACAGGGTCCACTTTTACAACTACTAGTGGTGCAAGTTGAAGTACCTGTGAAAAATTCTGCTGAACATTACTTTTATTTTTTTAACAACTTCTGCTAAACTATTTCAGCATTTTTTTAAATTTCAGAAGCAACAACACCTGATAGTGTTGGCCTCAAAGTGCACATTTGCACTCACTTGTTTGTAACATTGAGAGATTATCGAGGTACATATCCAGACTTGTTATCTGCAGTGGGGAAAATAATTTTTTGACACCCCCCCCCCCCCCCTTCAGATTTTGTAAGTTTGCCCACTTACAAAGAAATGAAGGGTCTATAATTTTTATCATAGGTGTATTTTAAATGATAGAGACAAAATATCAACCAAAAATCCAGAAAAAACACATGATACAAATGTTATTAATTGAGTTGCAGTTCAGTGAGTAAAATAAGTATTTGATCTCCAAGCAAAACATGACTTAGTGCTTGGTTGAAGAAACCTTATTGTGGTAAGACATTTTCTTGTAGTTGGTTACCAGGTTTGCACACATCTCAGGAGGGATTTTAGTCCACTCTTCTTTACAGAGCTTCTCTAAATCCTTATGGTTTTTTTGGCTGTCGCTTGGCAACTCAAAGTTTCATCTCCCTCCATAAATTTTTTATAGGATTTAGGTCTGTAGACTTGCTAGGCTACTCCATGACTTTAATGTGCTTCTTCATGAGCCACTCCTTTGTTGCCTTGGTGGTATGTTTTGGGTCATTGTCATGCTAGAAGACCCATCTACGTTGCATCTTTCAGTGTTATGGGAAGAAGGTTCTCATTCAAAGCCCATTCTATTGGCCCCTCAATGTGGCAAAGTTGACCTGTACCTTTAGCAGAGAAACAGCCCCAAAGCATAATGTTTCCACCTTTTGTTCTTGACTGTAGGGATGGTGTTCTTAGGGTCATAGTCAGCATTTTTCTTTCTCCAAACATGGCAAGTCAAGTTAATGCCAAAGAGCTCCATTCTAGTCTCATCTGACCACAGCACTTTCTCCCAATCCTTCTCTGAATCATTTAGATGTTCATTGGCAAACTTCAGATGGCCTGTACGTGTGCCTTCTTGAGGAGGGTGACCTTGCGGGGGCTGCAGGATTTCAATCCTTGGCGGCATATTTTGTTACCAATGGTTTGTTTGGTGATTGTGGTCCCAACTGCCTTGAGATCATTCACAAGCTCTTCCCATGTAGTTCTGGACTGATCCCTTACTTTTCTCATGATGATCCTCACCCCATGATGCAAAATCTTGCATGGAGATCCAGGCTGAGGGCGATTAATGGTCTTGTAGCCTATTCCAACCTTATGCAGGTCTACAGTCTTGTCCCTGACATCCTTTGACAGCTCTTTGGTCTTGCCCATGATGGTCAGGATTTGAATGGAAGAAAGTAATTCTGTGGACAGATTTCTTTTAAACACATAACAAGGAACACAACAAGGAACACCTTCTTAAATTGAGAGGAGTAGTCTGTGTGCCCCATGAGCACATAGCCAGTCTGTGGGAGCCAGAATTATGGTTGGTTAGTAGGGGATCAAATACTTATTTTCCTCACTGAACTGCAACTCAATTTATAAAATTTGTATCGTGTTTTTTTCTACATTTTTGATTGATATTTTGTCTCTATCATTTAAAATACACCTATGATAAAAATTATAGACCCTTCATTTCTTTGTAAGTGGGCAAACTTACAAAATCTGCAGGGGTGAAATAATTATTTTTACTGCCAACTTCTCAGCCGGTTCAGCAGGGATTGACTGAATTTGGATCAGTGTGTGGCTTTCCCTCTTTAACAGAAGTACATCAATATCGACTTCAGTTGAACGGACATGTTGGAAAACGTTTATTTATCAGCAGCTGCAGCCACTGATCAGTGTACTCTGACAGCACAAGCCCCGCTAACAATGTCCCAGCAGGGGCGATTCCTCCATCCAACCTGTTTGTATGGATGGAGGAATCTGTTTCCTTTTTTTTGTTTCAGCCAGTCTACATGTCTATGGCCAGCTTTAGTACGCCTTTTCCTATAAAGTGACCATGCAGACAAGAGGCTGAGCTGCTGCTAATAGGAGAATAGAGTAGGACTGTGTATGGGGGGATTTTGAACAGAGAGACACTGACTCCTGTGATACTGCCTGTGAGCGGGCAATGCCTGCAGTCTCCTGAGAACTAGCTAAGATGGGAATGTGAACATAGATGGGAGTATTTCAGCCAGGCTTCAGGGGACAGAAGATGGCCTACAGGTATGATATCTACAATCTAATCAATATGTATTAAAGCTGATCATTTTGTACTAAGACCCCTTGACTGTCACGTTATTGTAAAAGAAGTACCAAATGGTTAACTCAAGCCAAGTCGATCTAGCAATCCACTTCAGCAAAAAACGGCCTGTTTTTTATTTTTTCATATAATTACTGCCACAGTCTATCATCATTGTAATTTGACGGCGGGAAACCTGCTGTCAAAATACAATAGCACTGCAGGAGGGATTCCTCCATCAACACTGACTGTTTTGATGGGGGAATTGAGTGATTTTTTTCCTTCAACCAAGGGTTGAAAATTGTTTAATGTATGACCAGCCTTAGCCTTTAAGCCAACAAGGCAATGCAGTGTCAGTTTTTTTTTTTCAAAATAGGGTCCTTAACCCATATACGCCATATAGTAAAATGACGGACGCAAGGAGGTTCTCTCGCTCTTGGAGGATGTCATATGATGTCCTCCCATTCTAACCGTGCATGCGCGGCTCCCGCAGCACGGCGATTGGCGGTGCGCTGTGTCCCTCGGACACAGCGGATCACCGATCCATGGAAAGAGCCGAAGATGTCAGCTCGGTCATGTGATCAGCTGTGTCCAATCACAGCTGATCACATGTAAACAGGGAAATGCCGGTTATTGGCATTTCTCTCCCCACAAGCTGTCACGCTGACAGCTCGTGAGGAGAGGAGAGCCGGTAATCGGGATTCCTCAGGGGGGACATGTACACAGATCATCAGAGCACTGCTGATCAGTGTGCCCTGATGATCTGTGTAGCCCCAGCAGCGCCACCTGTCAGTGTCCATCAGTGCCAGCTCTGTGTTCATCCATGCCACCTGCCAGTGCCAGTGCCACATCAGTGCCACATTTCAGTGCCACATCAATGCCACATATCAGTGCCCATCTGAGCTGCCTTTCAGTGTCACTCATCAGTGCCAGTCAATGCCACCTATCAATGTCTATCAGTGCCACCTATCAGTGCTGCCAATCAGTGCCACCTATCAGTGCCAGTCAGTGCCGCCTATCAGTGCCAGTCAGTGCCGCCTATCAGTGTGCATCAGTGCTGCCTATCAGTCCCCTTCAGTGCTGTCTATCAGTGCTGCCTAACAGTGCCAGTCAGTGCCACCTAACCTGTCAATGCCCATCATTGCCACCTACCAGTGCCTCCTCATCAGTGCCCATCAGTGCAGCCTATTAGTGCCCATCAGTGCAGCCTCATTAGCGCACATCAGTGAAGGAGAAAAATCACTTATTTACAAAATTTTATAACAAAAACTAACTTTTCAAAATTTTCAGTGGTTTTTGGTTTGTTTAAGAAAAAATAAAAAAAACCCAGAGGTGATTAAATACCACCAAAATAAAGCTGTATCTGTCACAAAAAAAAATGATAAAAATTTCATATGGGTACAGTGTTTGCATGACCGTGCAATTGTCATTCAAAGTGCAACAGCGCTGAAAGCTGGAAATTGCCTGGGCAGGAAGGGGGTATAAGGGCCCTGTAGGCTTGTGGTTAAAGACACAACAGTGGAATTTTGATGAAGGCATTAAAGTGTATGTAAACCCTAACAATAAGCATCTCTTATTTGTTCCATTTTGGTCTGTAAAATATCCAAATAAAAGTGTTTTGTTAAAAGCAAAAATACCTGTCGATCCTGCCAGAAATCTTGTGAGCTTAAGACTTCTGTGCCTATGCTGCAGTGTTATTGTTCCAAGCTATCTCAGGGACTACAGAACACCTCCTCCCCACACATCTTATGAAGAAGAGGAGAGGGGGAGGTGTTCGGGTGACAATGCTGCTTCTCCATAGGATAGTAATTGTTTTACTGGCTGTAACATCAGGTGAAAATTTAAGAAAAAATATCATAAAAAAGAAAACCAATGCAGCCATCACATCTATGGACTGTAAAGCTGCAATATATTAATTTTTTCCTCTTGGGTTTTGAAATAATTTAGCGAATATATTGTCTAAATACAAGAGACATGTATTTTTACTTGAATCTTGCTGTGTTTCTTCCGGATCTGTGCTGTAATTCAGTGTGACACTTTACCTTTGTGCTGGACCAGTCACTGCTGCTTTCTCCTTGTGTGGGGTGACTGGTCTTGTCTTCACCCCCTCCTAGTTTTCTGCAGGCAGTCTGTAGTGGGTGGAGCCTTTGGTTCCTCCCACAGCTCTGCTTTCTGAACAAGTTATGTACAGCACAGTGATGATGTCACTGCTACATTTACAAGGCATCATCTGCCTTTGCGAATACATTTGCTGCACACAAAGAAGATTCATATCCATTGTGGCTACTTTGGAATATTTTTCAATGAACATTTTTATGCCCAGAGTTCCACTTTAAAGTTCAAAAATGGTTTATCTTTGGCATCCAGCAAACGTACATTGGTGAAATGTGCAAAACATGCAATCATCTATTTCTATTTTATGGTCAATCTTAGTGAACGTTCTGCAGGAAAAGGGGGGGTGCAGGGACTGCCCTGAAACAGCTTGGTTACCTGAAAAACCGTCAGACTTATGTCTTGATTTTTACTTGCAAAATAACATTACACTGTAGACGTCAGCAGAGCTGTGATGGACCCCAAGATCAAATGAAACCCAGCCATTATGAACAATTTTTTGTATTTGTAGCTTCTGACTTTTTTTCATATCACATTGCTGAATTAAAAAAAACTCAAACCAGTAAAACCATTACAAGCTGCTCTACCTAAATGCGGACTTTTCTTAATTTGTGACATTTTCCCTTTAAAACATCATATTGACCCTTTAAAAGGAAAATATAGCACTTGTGAAAGTACAAAACAAAAAGTATAAAATAAAAATAATTTTAGAGGATTTGGTTGCTGAAATTCTCATTAACCAGCTCTTTATATTGTCTATCATTTCAGTGTTGTATGCTGCAATTTCACATGCAGAAGGTAAAAGTGAGCTACGCCTGTTTAAAGAGCATGCTTACAAATTGAGGTTTTACAATTAGGCTTTTTACTTTCTATTTTTATACATCTTAACATGTGTACTTTTTTTTTTTTTTTCAACCTAAGGAAATGGAAAACTTTTAACTCATTAACTGCTGCAATGAGTTAATTCATCCAAACATTAGGGTGTGCTGTTTCCTCACATGAAATAAAAAAAAAAAATCTTAAAATTTCAAATATAATTTTAATGGCTGTGTCAGTAATCTAGAGTGCTTGGTGATGGGAGATTTATATATGCTAAAAACAGAAAAAATATTGTGAATAAAAAATGCTTACCTACATGCATAAAAGGAATCCGCAGTAAACAAACGCATCTATGTTCAATTATAAGAGTGCATCATTTTCTGCTTGTTAATTTTGCCTTACTGCTTAAAAATTAGAAAAAAAAAACACTTTTATGAGAATTACGCCGTCAAGGCACCTTGTATGATTAGCGCTTTTGTGTTCTTAAATTTTGATTGATAGAGATAATCGTTTTCATGTAAAAATACAGACAGGTACTTAAAGTTACAGTGACAATAGCTATTTGCATATCCTTTCTCTTATTGTTTAATGCACATGGGGGCTGGGTCGCTCTTCCTATTAACCCTTAAGTCATAGCAGAATTTTAAAAAAAATGAATATAATACTATAAAAACAAAGGCTCTATCAATGATTTAGGCCTAGATCCTTAAATGTTTTGACTCCCTTGAAACGCGTACAAGTCTTTTTAATGGACAGTCTTAAAACAGAAGATCTTAAATGACCAGAGTGATAAGAATATTCTCCCAATTAATCTAGGATTGAGCATATAGTTCCATCCAAAACATTTTGTCTTTCTTTCCCTCCTCCTTTTCCCTAAGAGTTCCAGTATTATATGCACAGATAGATGGCAAAAATGGAAATGTCTCCTTCATTGACGATTCATCTGCCCTTGGATGGGCCGATAGACATGAATATGAGGTTAATTAAAACCAGGGGAGGGGTCAGAATACTTGAGGGTGGGGGGGAGGAGGGGCACGGGTGCAATTCTTAATTCTGAAGCTGGTAGCATAGATTAATTTGGAGCTAACTGGATTTTAATTCAGAGTATGACAGTGCAGTGCACCAACTCATTATCTTTTACAGCACAGAGAGTAAGACAACGAGACGAGAAATTAAAGGATTCAGGCACTGACCACAAATCATACTGTGTATACAACAGGGAAATTCTGCGGTATGCTCGGTTTAGGGATGGGGAACATCTGAAGCCCCAAGCAGATGAGACTCTCTCGTATTGTTGACGATGGTACAGCTGGCCTTACAATGTTTTTAATATCTGAAATTGAAGCTTATGTGGAAAAGTGTCTGGAAAATGTCTGTTGCTGTTGTGAAGGTTCTTTAATCAGGTCCTGGTATGTCTAGTAGTAGTTAGTCACATTCATCTAGACTTATTCTGTAAAGTTGAAGATGTTTTATAGCTTCTCCAAGCCACATTCAGAGCCGGTTTACATAAAGTGTATGCGGATTGTAACCGCATCCAATCTGCATGACATGTGAAATAACTGTGCTTCCTATGGTGCCTGTTCACAAACGTCTTGTGCACTGGCGGTGCGAATTGGAAAAAGAGTCCCGTCTGATTTCTGAACAGTGCGGTCCGGTTTAGGTGCAGATTACAGGCTCATTGACTTCTGTGGGAACCACTTGTTAATTGCACATATTATTATTATTTATACAGGATTTATATAGCACCAACAGTTTGCTCAGTGCTTTACAATAGAACGGGAGACAATACAGCAACAATACAGTTCAATACAAGAGGGTTAGGAGGGCCCTACTCCTTGGAGTTTACAATCTAAGAGCATTATGAGTTTGTGAATATGATTTCAGGTTGGTTTTCTCTCCTGATCATGATGTAAATCTCACCTGAACCACTGAACAACTACTTTGTCAGTTCGCTGTGAAAACAGCTTCAATTCACACCACACATGTGTGAATCCAGGCTCATGCAGTTCCGAGTGTCAGGAATTTACTCCAGCATTTACTGTATGTCCATACAGATAGCATCAACTCCTTAATCCAGTTACCCAGGAATGTGTAGATGTTGATTGTCCAAGAACAGGACAAGAGGTGTGAAAATTGTGGAACCACCATGTTCTAAGTTAAGTCATTCCATTCTCAATGTCAGGAAGGCTTTGTAGATGTTAATTTTTCTATTTACATGGCTGAAGATGTGAGTTGTTGTCCAAAGCCAGGGGTGGAGATGTTAAAACATCATATGTAGAAGACTGATTGTTTTAAGGCCCTCATCTTTGTTCTATGATGTTGCCTTTAATATCCATTCAGAAACTTCCTTTTCAATTCCACAATGCCATTAGATAGTGAAAGGAAGAATCTAATTGGTTACTAAAGCAAGCAGACCATTTTCTCTGAGACAAGGTATACAATAGGTATGAAGCTCAAGGTCTCTGCACATAGTTTATAGAGGTTTGTAATTTGATCATCACGGTATTCAACCAGGACTTTGTTCAATTTTTTGTAATTAACTTTTAATGATGACACAATTTATTTACTGTCTGCATATTTTCCCTGTGGAAGGATTAATTTGAAAGTGAAAAAGCTTCAAGTTAACACAATAGTACCACCAGTAGCACAATTAATAACACACATTAAGCCATTATTATTTTGAATGCTGGTGGCACAGTACATACACTAAGTATTTTATATGCATCTTTCTCATTCTTCATGCTGAATATTTTAGTTTAATTATTATTTTAACTAAAAGAGAATGTGACTGTATTGTTCTCAAGTGTAACATTTTAAATAAAATGGTATTATAGATATTGATCATGTACAATGGCAGTAATCTCACTGATACATTTACATTGAAACACACAATGGCTAATATTTCCATAGTTAGTTGCTACTGACAGCATAAAGGTTTTTTTTTTTTTTTTTAAGTATATCTAAATTCAAAACTTTTTTAGGCTGTCTTTGTCCTATTGAGGATATTTCCCATTATAAAACTGTCATGAGACACAACAGGAAGTGAGAGATGATCTCTCCAATGTAAGGGAAATGCTTTCTTACTGTAGATACTTGTCACCAGAACAGCTGCTCCCTTTGGAAAAGTTCCCCTTTTAGTCACCCTCT